AGTAGGAGTAGTAGTAGTAGTAATAGTAGTAGTAGTAGTAGGAGTAGTAGTAGGAGGAGGAGGAGGAGGAGGAGTAGTGACAGTAGTAGTAATAGGAGTAGTAGTAGTAGTAGTATTTTTTCCTTCCTGTCTGTCTGGCTGTCTCTCTTTATCTGTCTCCCTCTTTTTCACTCTCCCGCACTCCCTCATTATCTCTTTCTCTCAACTCCATTCCCATTCTCTCTTTCTACCCACCATCCCCAGTCACTCCAACTAGCCCACAGTCCATCTCTCTCCTTAATTTCCTCCTTCCTTCCATCTCTCACCTCAATTCCCTCTTTTTTTAATTTTGTCTCTCACCCCAATTTCCTCCCTCCTTCCTCCCATCTCTCAATTCAAGTCCTACCCTACCTTCCTTCTTTCTTTTATCTCAAGTCATTCCCTTCTTCTTTCTATCTCTCACTTCAAGTCCTTCCCTTCTTTCTTCATCTCTTACCTCAGTTCCCTCCTTCCTTCCTTCCACCTCTCCCCTCAATGCCCTTCCTTCCCTCCTCCCTCCCTCCTTCTTTCCATCACTCACATCTCCCCTTAATTCCCACCCCTCCCTCCCTCCCTCCCTCCATCTCTCCCCTCAATTCTCTCCCTTCCATCCCCTCCCTCCCTTCCTCCTTCCTTCCACCTCTCCCCTCAACTCCCTCCCTTCCTTCCTCCCTCCACTCCCTTCCTGCCTCCCTCCCTCCCTTCCACCTCTCCCCTCAATTCCTTCCTTCCTTCCTTCCTTCCCTTCCTTCCCTCCTTCCTTCCATTACTCACCTCGATTCCCTCCGACATGTACTCCTGCTGCTCCCACGTGAAAATATGCTGATTGAAGAAATACTGGATCTGCTCGTTGGCGATGTTGATGCACAGCTGTTCGAAGGAGTTGATTTCGAAGTTCTCGAAGCCGAAGATGTCCAGGAGACCCACGGCTAGACTGTCTCCGCTGTTGTTTTAAGAAAGCGAGGGTTTGAATCTTTTTTTTTTGTCTGTTATTTAGTTTGTATCTTTTATTCTTGTCTGTTTATTCGTTTGTTTGTTTACTTTGTGTGCTGGGAAGCGTGTGTTTGAATCTTTTGTTTTTGTCTGTTTAGTTTGAATATTTTGTTTTTGTCTGTTATTTAGTTTGAATCTTTTATTCTTGTCTGTTTAATCGTCTGTTTGTTTACTTGTGTGCTTGAAAAGATGAGTTTTATTCTTTTATTTTATTCTTTGTCTATTATTTATCTGTTTATTTACTTGTGTGCTAGGAAGGGTGTGTTTTATTTATTTTTTTTATTCTTGTCTGTTTATCCGTCTGTTTGTTTACTTGTGTGTTTACTCGTCTGTTTGTTTACTTGTATTAAAGCGTGAGTTTGAGTCTTTTATTTGTTAAATGATTCATTTGTTTGTTTGTTTGTTCATTTTGGAGACTGTGAGTTTCTTTTATTTGCCAAATTATGTTTGTTTATACTTGTTTGTTTGGCGAGTGTAAGTTTCAATCTTTTATTTGTCTGTTTATTTATTTATTTTCTTATTTATTTGGAAATTGTGAGTTATATTTCATTTACTTGTCAATTTATCAATTTATTCAAAATCCAAAAAGAAAGAGAGAAATCTACACTCACTTTACAATAATAATAAAAAATCGAGACAGAACCAAAAATAATCATACAAACTAATAACAAAAAATATCTAAAAAGAAAAGAAAAATAAGAACCTAAACGCCACACGAAAATCGAAAAAAATGACCTACAAACAAATAAAAAAGAAAAAAAAAACGGTCAGAAGACTCCAAAAAGAAACAAAACACACAAACACAGATTCTAAGAAAATAAAACTAACGAAAGAAAACTAAAGAATAAAAACAAAAAACAAAAAAACAAAAGAACCCAAAAAACAACCACTAAAAAAAAACAAATAAAACAAAATCTTAAAAAAAAATTCAAACACAAAGGTCTCCCACACTCACTACACAATCCTGCAGAAGGACAGCAGTCGATTGATGTTGTTAACGATCCAGTCGAAGAGCCTCCCGTACATCGCCTTGGCCATGGCGTCCCGCGTGCTCACCGCCTCCTCCACCGTGTTGTTCCTCGTGATGATCTCGCCCTTCGTCACCACGCTGTTGGAGGTCAGGGCGTCCGCCAGGTCCGCCGGGTCGATGCCCAGGAGTTCCGATACTGCAGGAGGAAGGGAGGAGGGAGGATGGAAGGAGGGAGGAAAGAGGTGGGAAGTGGGAGGGAGGTGGGAGGTGGGAGGTGGGAGGGAGGGAGGAGGGAGGAGGGAGGGGGATGTGGGAGGTGGATGAAGGGAGGAGGAAAGGGGTGGGAGGTGGGAGGAGGTGGGAGAAGGGAGGAGGTGGGAGAAGGGAGGAAGGGAGAGAAGTGGGAGGGAGGGAGAGAAGTGGGAGGAGGAGGAAGAGGATGAAGGAGGAGGAAGAAGAAGAAAAAGAAAGAGGAGGAGGAGAAGGAAGAAGGGTGGGATTTTTCAATTATTTGAGAATTTTTTTAAGGGTCGGATTTTTAATTTTAAGGGTTGGATATTATTTTTATTATTATTTTGGGGGTTGGACTTTTCATTTGCTTCGTGTGAAGGATTTCGAATTTTTTGAAGGGTTGTAATTTGTTGTTTTATGAATGGTTAGAAATTCATTATTTTTAAAGAGTTGTAATTTCGATATTTTAAATTATCTGATTAATCAGTATTATTATTACTGTTATCCACAGATCCCCCCCCCAAGTTGGAATGTCGAGTTTTTAAGATGAGAAAACTATATACATTTTTTTTTCTTTTCTTTTTTCAAGAGCTGAACTTTAGCCACACGTTTTTTTCAAAATGTTATTGTTGGTGTTCTCCCTCCCTCCCTCCCTCCCTCTCCCCCTCCTCCCTCCCCCTTTTCCCTCCCCTCCCCTTCCTCTCTCCTTACCGATCTTAATCTGCTCCACATTTTTCACCGCCGCCTGCTCCATGTTGTCCTTGTCGATCGTCTGATAGAATTCGACGTCGCCCAGGTTGATGATGGCCGCCAGGATCCTGTACACGGAGTCTAGCTCGTCGTCGCGGAAGCCTAGGGACGTGAAACCCTCGACTACCTTGTTGAACTGCTGCACGGCTGCCTGTGAAGTGTTTTTTTTTTTTTTTTTTTTTTTTTTTTTTTTTTTTTTTTTTTTGGGGGGGGGTGGTGAGGGGGGAGGGGGGTGATGGAGGGTAGGGGGAGGTGAGGAAGGGAGGGAGAGAGGAAGGGAACGAGGGAGGGAAGGGAACGAGGGAAGGAAGGGAAGGAGGGAGGAAGGAAGGGAGAGAGGGAGGGAGGGAGGGAGGGAGGGAGGGAGGGAAAGAGGGAAAGAGGGAAAGTGGTAAAGAGGGACAGAGGGAAAGAGAGAGGGAGGGAAGGAAGGAGGGAGGGAGGAAGGGAGGGAAGGAGGGAGGGAAGGAGGGTGAGGGGATGAAGTAAGGGGGATGGGTGAGGGAGTGAGGGCAGAGTAGGGGAGAGGTAGGTGTGAGAGGGAAGAGAGAGAGGGAAGGGAGTAGGGGAGAGGTAGGGGGGTTGGGGGGATGAGAAAGGAGTTGGAAGGGGTGGTGGTGAGGGGGGGGAGAGGTGGGGGAGAAAGGGAAGATGGGGGGGGGAGATTGGAATGGAATGAGGTGGGAAGTAAGATTGAGAGAGGGAAAGGGGCAAGGAGAAAGAGAGGGGAAGAAATGATAAAAAAATAATTCAATGAAACTATTGAGGTAATTCTAATTAAGCGTGCTTGATTCAGTTAATTAATCAACTCATTAATTACTAATCTCGAGTTTCATTACATTCATGTTTTAGCAAAAAAAAAAAAAACAATCCATAAAGATAAAAGTATAAAAAAACGAAAAAGACAAACACACACAGACAAGCATACGCATGCACGCCCGCGTGCGCGCGCACACACACACACACACACACACACACACACACACACACACACACACACACACACACACACACACACACACACACACACACGCCCACGCCCACACACACCTCCCCCCCTCCCACAACTCCCCACCCCACCAACACATTCTTTCACAAACACAAACAAACAACCCCCACACACTCTCACCCCAACGCACACACGCACTCACCTCACTCTTCTCCTTACTCCACGCGGCGCCAGCAAGATATCGGTGTTTATCTCGCTTGCTCTTGTCAAGACTGTATTGCATGAGCTTGTTCTCGGCATCAAGACCGTCGTACAGGTAGTAGAAGATGTGGAAATTCTGCTCGCCCCTGGAAACCATGTGAGAGCTACTTTGCATGATTATATTGACGGTCACTTTAATAATTAAGTTTGTCCCTACCTGTCCGTCTAGCTAGGCCTACGTAATGGTGTTTTAAGTTTGGATGTGTAGATATATATGGGGATATATGTACATATCTGTATCTAGTGTCTTTCTCCTTTTAATATCAACATCTATATCTAGAGCTATATATATATCTTTTTGTCATATATACAGTCACGGCTAAGCTTATCTATGTTCGTTTTCAGTTTGTGTCGATCTATTTGTCTATTTATCAATCTATTTATCATGCAATGCGGCTTTTTACTTTTGTAACAACATTTGTGATATAAATACTTTATAATCATGATTATCTATATATACATATCTAAAAAATCATCATCATCAGCATATATAAACATAAATGTATATACACAAAATTGTATAAAATATATACACACGTACCCATATTATGCTTACGTTCATACATACATCATACATATATACCTGTATACTTACATACTATACACAAACACACTCTAGCCTACTTTGAGACTGCTACAAGCTCCACTGTAAAAATAAAACTAATCTAAAATCTCTAAATGGTTCTGAACTAGATTTCCTGTACAATGGTTTTCTAAGGAGATGTGGCCACCCCCCCCCCTAAAAAAGCTTTTGATGCTAAAATGCTTCTACAGGCCACATACACTAAGGATAAAAATTGCTTACACATCTAATAGCGGTCAGGTCACCTGGTGAACTGACTCGAGATAACCTGGGTTAATAATTCGCAGCTTCCCGGTAAGGAAGTGTGTGTGTGTGGGGAGGGGGGGGGAGGAAGATATAAACGTGTTGCGAACATGTTTGAGAGGTGAGGAAGCCAATCATGGTTTAGATAATACTTTTTAAATGATGTTTTGATCATGGAGTGACTTCTGATTAGGATGATATTGAGAGGAAATGAATGTACTTGAAACACACTTGGCGAGCGAGGGTGTGAGTAAGCCAAAATCGCTAAAAATGAGAGAGAGAGAGAAAAAAAACTATTTTCCTTCTAAGCTTCTTTAGTATATCCACGGACACGAGAGTATTTATCTTACACTCATACCCTCGCTTGCACAATCATGCATTTTATGTATTTTATTTACTTATTTGACATTTTTTTTTGGCTCATCACCTAATCTTTAATGCAGAAAATATATTTACATTTGAAAGGGTTGGGCAGGTAATGTGAGAGCCATTTCTGACATTTGTTTTAATGATTTTTAATTGGTAGATTTACTATTTCTTTTATGATAGGGGGTGTCAGCCATATTGTATGTACGTAACGTGTGTGTATGAGGGAGAGGGTGTACGTACGTGCGTGGGCGGATGGATGGGGGTTTGGGTTGTGTGGGTGGGTGGGGGTTTGGGTTGTGTGGGTGGGTGGGGGTGCGTGTGTGCGTGCGTGGGTGGGTGTGGGGGGCGTGTGTGCGTACGTGAGTGGGTACGTGCGTGGATGCGTATATATGCGTGAGTGCGTGCGTGCGTGAGTGGGTGCATCCGTGCGTACGAAGGAATTAGGTGAACAAGTTATAAACAAAAACCGCGAAGAAAAGGACAGGAAATCGCGCGGTTACTCTAAAAGCCTTTTCGCTCTCCCGCTTCATTCCTCGGTGAAGCGATGAAGCGAGAAAACCTGACCGTGCGCTTCCTGTTCGTACTTTCGGTTTGTTTATACTGCGTGCGTGCTTTCGTTTAAAGCCCACGTGAGTGCGTGCTCGTGTGGTTGCTTGCATGCGTGCCTTCGCGTAAAGCCAGCATTAATTCGTTCCTATGTGCTTGCTTGCGTGCATGCCTTAGTAAAAGCCCACGCGAATACGTTCTCATATGGTTGCCTGAGTGCTTGACTGCCTGAGCGAATGACAGAACCCAAAACATGCAAAGAAATCCGGCTACTTACTTCGCCTGGTGAACCACCCTCGACTGCTCCAGAAGGTAGACGGAAATCTTGGCTCCCGTGACTTTGCCGAGGCGGGTGTAGGTCAGTTCCAGGTATTTTCCGAACCTCGAGGAATTGTCATTGATTCCCGTCTTGGCGTTCCCGAAGGCTTCCATGATGGGGTTGACTAACAGGATCTTGTCTTCGAGGTTTCTGTTGGGTGCCTGTGAGGGGTGGAGGGGGAAAGGGGGCGAAAGAGAGAGGGGGGGAGAGGGAGAAAATATTGGGTTAGAGAACGAAGAGAGATAAAGAGAAGGGGGGTGGGGGGGTTGATGTAACACGGATATAGATAGTCTTTTGTTTCATGGGAGATTCGTGCGCTTAACATGAAGGAGGAAGTGGATGATTATAATTCAAGGTCTTTCCGTATTATCTAATCTCCATATTTAATCAACCTCGTTCAACTTTCTCTTTTTCTCTCTCTCTCTTTCTCTCTCTTTCTCTCTCTCTCTCTCTCTCTCTCTCTCTCTCTCTCTCTCTCTCTCTCTCTCTCTCTCTCTCTCTCTCTCTCTCTCTCTCTCTCTCTCTCTCTCTCTCTCTCTCCACCAACTGAAACTAACAACAACAACAAAAGCCCCCCCCCTCTTTTTAATTCCCCACCTTGCCGAGTGTGACCAGCTGTTTGAGCAGGAAATTAGCGCTCTCCGTCTTCCCGGCTCCCGACTCCCCCGATATAACGATGCACTGCTGTTGCTTCTGGTGCAGCATCGTGTGGTAGCTGTTGTCTGCCATGGCGTAGATGTGGGGAGGGTTCTCGCTCTTGCCCATACCTCGGTGCATGCGAGATTCCTGTTGGGGGGGTTATAAAGGGGTGGTATTAAGAGGGGTTGTAAGGGGGGAGGGTGGGAGGGAGGATGGGAGAGGGAGGGTGTGTGTGTATTTGTGTGTGTGTGTGTGTGTGTGTGTGTGTGTGTGTGTGTGTGTGTGTGTGTGTGTGTGTGTGTGTGTGTGTGTGTGTGTGTGTGTGTGTGTAAAAGGTTTATAAAGGGTGGTGTGAAAAGTTTATTTTTTTTTTTTAAGATCTGTGGTGGTTGTATTTATTTGAGTGTCAGTCTGTTTGTCTGTCTGTTGTCAGTCTATCTATTTGAGTGTGTATGTGCGTCTGTTTGATTGTCTTTGTGTTCTGTTTATCTGTTTGTCTGTCTACCTACCTACTCACGTATATGATTATCTATATACACAGACGCACACAGACATGCGTATACGTGTTTATATCTTTCTGTATACTCCATATGAATACTTTACCAATAATTTTCATGCATTAATCAAATTTCCCTTTCTTAGATCAAACCAGCCATCTCTAAATTAACCCTATATACCTATCTATCTATCTACTTTTGGAAATAAAAACAGGAATTTCTCTATTATTTTTGTTATTCTCTTAAACGTGAGTATGGTCAAATAATGAGAAAATTATTAACGTGACTAATTCATGCTCAATGAAAATACTAAGATTATATTGATAATTATATTTCAAATCTGGGAGAAAAATTTATTCATAGCTGCAAGGGGGCGTCCACTCGCCCCTCCTCCCCTCTCCTGTACCCCTCCACTTCGCCCTCACCCCTCCACCCCACCCCACCCTTCTCCCACCCCTAACCCTTCTCCCTCCCCTCCCCTCCTCCCCCTCCCCCCTTCCCCCTCCCCATCCCCCCATCCCCACTTCCCCACTCACCTTCTCTCCGTAGACTCCAATCTCCTTGAAGGGGTTGACCGCGATGAGGATGTCCCCCATGTAGGTGTAGATCTGGTTGGTGTCGTAGCGCCGGTTCAGGTGATCCACGATGATCTCCTGGTAAGGGGAGGGGGGGAGAGAAGAAGGCGGTTTGGTGAGCTGTTGGTGGTGATTTGGTGTGGTGGTGATTGAGTTGTGTGGTGATTGGTTGTGTGGTGGTAATTGGTGATGAGGTGGTGTGGTAGTGATTGGTGAACTATGGTGGTGTGGTGGTGATTAGTGGTGACTGGTGATGTGCTATAGTGGTGATTCGTGATAAGGCGGTCTGGTGGTTAGTGGTGATTTGATGGGGATTGGTGGTCAGGTGGTTAGTGGTGGTTGTTTGGTGATGAAGTGATTTGGTGATTGGCGCTAATTTAATGGTGGTGAGGAGGAGCGGTAGTGGTGGTGGTGGTGAGGTGGTGGTGACTTTATGTTGAGTTAATACCGTATGATGATCGAGGCAAAGGGTCAGATGTGTGGTTATTGCCGGTTAACTGGTATTAATCGTGGCTGGTGGTGAGTTGGCATTGATGGCGTTTGATTGTGAATTGGTATTGTAATTTTATAATTTAGTTTGATTCCATTTGTTACAATGGATATTCTTGCTGTGACATACTGTCTGTTTTATTTTGCTTCTAAATTATCCCCTGTGTGCAAGGAATGACCGGGGTTACCATCCACTGGTGGCGAGGGATTCGAACGCAGGTCAGCAAGATTGCTAGACGAGATCGCTACCGCTGCACCACACAGCACAGCTGGTGGTGAATGATGATGATTTGGTATCGAAGATGACTTGATGACTATTGCAACTCTTATATTTACTTCCTGATGATGGTTAAAGGAAAATTATCACAATATCAGCTACTATCACAATGTTGATGATTTAACCGGCAGCCTTGCTATAACGACCTTTTTACTTTAACACACAACACGCGACACCGGTATAGCACCTTATTCATCCAATATACTAAGCTAACTCACTACTCACCACGAAACTATAGGAGCTCCCCCCCTCCCACGTACCTCCCCCTATCCCCCACCCCATCCCCCCCCCTCCCCTCCCCACCCCCGAGAGCTCCTCCTACAGGAACACCCTCACCCCCCCTTACTTCCTCCTGTCTCCCCCACAGCCCATCACCCACCCACCCCCTCACCCCACCCCTTCCCCTACCCCCACCCCACAACCCCACCTCAGAGAGCTTCTCCAAGCTGGCCAAGTCATCCATCCAAATGGGCGTCCTCTTGGTCTTCAGTCTCCCACCCCCCCTCTCCCCTCCCTCCCCCCTTCCCTCCCCACCTTACCCCTCCTCACCTTACCCCTCCTCCCTCCTCCTCTCCCCACCCCTTCCCCTCCCCCCTTCCCACCTCCGAGAGCTTCTCCAAGCTGGCCAGGTCATCCATCCAAATGGGCGTACCCCTCCTCCTCCCCCACCCTCATCCTACAGCTCTTCCCCTTCCCCTCCTCCCTCCCTCTCCCCCTCCTCCCTCTCACCCCTTCCCCCACGCCCACAACCCACCCCCTTCCCACCTCCGAGAGCTTCTCCAATCTAGCCAGGTCATCCATCCAAATGGGCGTCCTCTTGGTCTTCCAGTCTGCCTTCGGTCTTCCACCCCCCTCTCCCCTCCCCACCCCTCCTCCTCTCCCTCTTACCACTCTCCCACAACCCCTCCCCCCCTTCCCACCTCCGAGAGCTTCTCCAAGCTGGCCAGGTCATCCATCCAAATGGGGGTCCTCTTGGTCTTCGGTCTCCCACCCCCCTCTCCCCTCACCACCCCTCCCCCCCTCCCACAACCCCACCTCCTCCCCACCTTACCCCACCCCCTACCCCACCTCCCCACCCACAACCCCCTTCCCACCTCCGAGAGCTTCTCCAAGCTGGCCAGATCATCCATCCAAATGGGCGTCCTCTTGGTCTTCCGGTCTGCCTTCAGCGCCCCCCCTTTGATCGTGGCTTCGGGGTCCTTCTGCACCAGCTGGTTCTTGATCCTGAGGTCGTCCTGCAGCTGGGTCAGCTGTCGGCGGATCTGGGTGGATTTGAGGGGGGGGGGGATTA